TCCCCAACATTAGCAGCTGACGAATCAGAGTTAGATGGTTTCTGGGGAAAGACGGGAGCAGATCGTCCGTAATGAGAAGTCCTTCTATAAGTTGCTGTGCGCGACTCCAGCGCGAGAATCAAGAATAGCACTAGGGAAGGAGTCTAGGATCCAGAAGTTTGCATAGGGGCTCGGAAAGAAAACGTCAACCGTCCTTTTTGGGTTTCTCTCTTCCGGATTCTACCATAAATTTTCATTTCATTAAGAAAGACTTCGCCAGTGGCATGGGAGTTGCCCAACGAAACCTGCACCGATATTGACCACATTCTCACCAACCATAGTTGAGCTTGCTCGATGTCTCAGTAGTTCCATGCTTCTGCAGTGGCTCCGACCACCGCTCTTTCGAGCGAAGGTACAGGCTGCTGCAGGACGAAGGCGCATATCTTTGAGCACGAACATGGCTTTATTAGCCGCAGGGCGCATGAGGCACAGGATTTACAACGGTAAATATACGCGCGCGCGTGTCGCGCCCGTTCAATTAGTACCGCTTCTGCGCTTCATGCAGTAGCCTTTAAAATTCAGTCGGAAGTTGGAGAATAGATTTGACACAATTTTGCAGGAAGAAAGGAAGTCGTTCATGACGGTAGCAGGCTGGGAAGAGCCCATATAAAGCCGTAACTGGCTCTGCAGGGGATTTCAGTCTGAGTGTCACGGTCGGCGCGGCTCGGGTCTCGCAAGGCGCCTCACTTGGGCCACTCGAGGCGTCCACAAACTCACGAATGTGTCTTGGGGCATTTTCCTGGGCTCATCAATCACGTCTCAAGCGTGGGAAGATGCCGTTTTTTCCAGGGCGAACGCGGCGAGAGACCCAAGCGAGGTAGCTCGCTCGAATTTGAGCCACATCAACCGTGACACTCAGATTGGAGTTCAAAGTCATAAAAATGTGTGAATGACTTGCTATACTTCTTGTGATTAACTTGAATGAATGAGAATTTTTGAAAAAGTTTAAATTAAACATCTCTGGGCGTGATTGCCGCCAGGTTCCTTTCTCAACATTTGGGGGTTCTTCGTAAATCACAATTGTTCGAATGTTTGATTAGCACTTTGTAGCGCTTGTTGAGTCTATTAAATACCCAATCACTTTTTCTGTTCACCCTGCCATGGTAGCGTGACGACAGAACTCTCGGCCAGAATCTAATTCCTAGGGTTGACGCTTCAGCAATGACTGAAACAGCACTCCTCTCAGTTAAGACTAGCTATGACGAACTGACAAGTGCGAATGGCAACGAACTTAACGAGGAGGAATGGGAAGATGAAGGAGGTAGAAATGATAAAGTTTCTATTTATTTGTCGCATCATATTCCGTTCTCGGAATCTTCTTTTCAGAGATTGACGTTGTTCGTGTGGATGATGACACAGATATGCTTACAACAAATGCGGAAGCCGTCACAGATGAAGAGTATTTGTGTCGTGGAGGAGAATACGGTACGTATTTTATGCCTAGTAATCGTGTAAGTGTAAGTTCAATCCGCGTATGTTATTACGCGGAGTAAAGTAGGTATTCATGCTAAGAGACGCGGCTCACCACCTTATACGAATTAGAGACTCTCAATTTTAAAAGCGACCAACTTTCTTCAGCTATTTATTGAAATGCAGATTCAGTGTCACTTAAAATATCGACCGTTCCAGCTTCCATTAAGGCAACAGGCCTGTTCGATCCTAAAAGCCGAATCTTTATTCTTTTCGTCTTCATCAGGAATATAGATTTGACGAGGCTGATACAGAAATAAGTGTTCAAACCTGTTCATGCCACTATTTTGGGCGTGGTCAGCCACCTTTCTGGCAACAATGGTATCACACAAATATCATTCATATCAACGGATGCTTAGGTAGGCGCCAGACTGAGCGACTATATAGTCGCTTAGAGCTTAACGAAATAGAATGTCTGCACAAATTTGCGCTATCGCATTTTTGGAATGTATTAGGTTGTAAAGAAAGTTACCGGGCACTTGCGAAAATTTTTTCAAATCACTGTAACTTCAAACAGGCTGAATTTTCTTTAGGGCTACAAACTCCACTGCAAAGACAATTTTGTCTATAACGTATATTTGTCTTGCTGGATTTTCAGCACCTCACTACGGTACACCAGCATGCACCAGCAAATTGGAAAAAGGTCAACGCGAAAAGTGGCCTCTTTGTGCAGGATTATCTCAGCCATGGTAAGAGCTGGAGAGCTCAGATGCTGTATTTATATAGAAGTCTGCTGGGGCCACCTGCAAAAAATTCTTTTCCAGAAAAGTTGAAAAATCGACCATTTTTTGCCCCCAAAAATGCACCGTTTTTCGAGTAAGTTGCTTTGAAGTCTTCTCGTTTTGCACAGGGCGGACCAAATCTTTGATTACTGCGAACATTGTTGGGTTAATGCCTTACCCATATTTTGGACCCATCATCCAGGCGTGGCGATTCCCGCAGAAGCGACGCCAGCTGCGAAAAGAGATGCAGTCAGGTGCAAGTTCGACAGCTTGTAATTGAGTGCAGCTGCGGATTAGAAGTCAAAAGGCTCCTCAATCAGATCACCCATGATTTAAACGGAATTCTTCGAACTGCACAAAAAAATGGCCTCAGAAAGAAAAATTGTGAAATTTTTATGGTTGAAAAGACTTCCTTGTTTAATGTGTAGATCAAACACGTATTGGCATCGACAGAAATCAGAAGCGGTATTGAAAAGCTTACGCTTCGCTCTACTGAACACTGTACAACACTCGGTTTCAAACTCCGACGGAGCGCCAAAAAATGCGTTTGAAAATGAAATTTCCAAAACTGCCCGGGAACTTTCTTTACAACCTAATAAATGCTTTTTACAGAGGTTGACCCAGGTACCCCGAGATCGCGACTCCCGGTTTTCTCCCGCTTCATTTTTTGGGTCGGGATTATCTCGATAGTCGGGACAAAACCGGGTGTCGCGCAAAACTCCCGGTTTTCGCGAATTTTCATTTTGTGGTCGGATCTCCGGCGGGACTTAACTGCGAATGTCTGAATTTTGTTCAGCTGCAAAAGGCGCGCAGAATCAACGTTAAACTGCGACCGCGCTGCTTTCAACTCCAGGACCGCGCAAAATTAATTTTAATTCTGCGCGCGTTCTGCAGCTGAACAAAACAGTCGATTAGTTTGGCGCCTACCTTAACACTGGCGTAACGAGGGAGGGGGGGGGGGGGCAAGTGACATTTTATGCCTGTGAATAATTAGAATAGTTTTGGAATTTGAAAATTTTAGCTTTGTAAAAAGCAATTTTTCAGGGGCGCGGCTGCCACACCTTTGCCCCTTTTTTAAGGCATCCCAAAAATATCTCCGATTTTTTCAGTTGTAGTGTCCTCCCCCTCCCCCTCCTCCTCGAACGAAAATTCTGGGACCGCCATCGCCAAGAAATCATGCTGTGCACTGGAAGTGAGGTGCATGAAAATTGTTTTGCTAATTTGAAGGATGTTTGCGCAAACAGTCTCTTTTTCCTTTTTGTTTTCATACATAGCCCACAAGAAACTGGAGATGCATATGAGACACGTCTACTTTCAGAGTCTCACTTTAGAACTACTCAAGCAAATTCATTGTCAGCTATACGATAATGCATACGGTACGTTTTCAGCGAGGAGGCGAAAGATACTGTTCATCCTGTCATTTGACGCTAAAACGAAGTATCTTCTATCATCATCAGCGTTTGATAAAGAAGTATGGTCGATGTGACATTTTTACTCCAAAAAGATTTCCTTGCAAAGAGGTGGGGATTTGGGCTCTTGAGCATCTCTTCTTCGCAGATAAAGTTTTTAGTGTTCTGAACGGTTGGCCACCATAGAAAAACTGTGTGAACATATGTACCAAATTCACGGAGCACCTACACGAGTACAGATCAAAACCTTCAACACTGAAGCCGAGTTCCAAGTTTGATATCAATTTTCGGTCAAATTTGATTTTAAGCGGCACAATTGTTCTGCAGCCCAGATTCTTGCAAGCTCAAAGGCAGTGTCCGGGCAAAGGGATTTGTATCATCTAGACGTACCATGGCACAAATGCCATGGTACGTCTAGATGATACAAAGACGCTGTTGGACGTACCATGGCACAAATGCGGGCCAGCTTAGAAATAAGCGAGAATTACGGACGGGAAGTTGGAAAACCTACGCCTCGCGGTAGAATAGAGTAAGCTTGCAGTTATGTAGAGCGGGCCGGTAGTAATCTCGGCTCTAACGGCAGGTCGCCGGCACCTTGAGCCGAGGTCCGTAAAAAGTAAGATGTCACATCTATGCCTTCATAACCTTTTACAAAACCTTGATGAGAATGCCATGGCTACCTTGAAGAAACCTGCATCGAAATCTATCACCTGATTCAGAAATCCTCTTAAAAACAGTGGCTTGGAAAATTTGCAACTGCGCGCTTTCGGTTCCTCCTGTCTGGATGCGTTTAGACCAGAGCTGCGCTTAAAAAGTCAAAAAAGTGCTTTTTATTCTTTAGGCGTTCTCCGGTATTGGAGATTGCTGAGGAGGCTGGAGCGGAAACTCCCGCATCTGAGTCGCGATTGGCTGCCTGGGCTATTTGACCAATTGCCGCTAAAATGAGTGGTGTTACAGTCTCCTGCAGCCTGTCACTGTTTTTGTCGGGAATCTCCGCTCCAGCCTCCACAGCAACCTACAAGGCCGGAAAACACCATAAAAACACTTTTTTGACTTTCCAAGCACAGCTCTGGTCTAAATGCATCCAGAAGGCCAAGGAGGAACAGAAAGCGCGCAGTTCCAACTTTCCCGAGCCACTGCCTTTAAAAAACATTGAAAAGGACAAGTGCTATTGGCAACTTTGCAAACTAACCTGTCGGCAGCCTGCCGGCAGCTCGTCGAGATTTGCGAGGTGAGGGCTGCCGGCAGGTCAGCGAGTACGAATAATAGCGTGCGTCATTTGAGGGAGAAAAGTGCCAGTGCCTCGACGTGCCCTACCACGTCGAGGCACAGGCGACTTGTTGGCATCCTGTTGGCGGCATCTGTGTTGGGCATTGCGGCAGTCACACAATTTACGTTAGGAAAAGAACCATTTTTGTCATTATATGGGTTTTCCTTGTTCAGATCGATGGTATGTATATAGAAGAAATGATGACTAGTATTATCATAGAACAATCACTGAAGCAATTTTTTTTTGCAAATCCCTTGAATCTTTTGACTTCGCGTCTCCTTTGTTCATAAAATCAGCTGATTTTTCAGACCAACGTCTATCACGCATTGTATTGATCATGCCTCCTAAAGTTCTTTGATGTACTGCAATCGCTGCAGTAACGGGGGGGGGGCACGCGTTATGGAGCAAAACGCCGCATTCAGAGGTGCGATAGTCGGAGCCGATTCTCCGCCTACCTTCACTTTTGAGCTGGTACAGGGTGACCACCTTCACTTTTCGGCTTGAAAAAGTTTTTTTGCTGAAGCTCAAAAGAAGGAAAATAAGCAAAAGGAATGTAAAAGAAAGTATTAAGAGCATATATCTATGTAGTAGGTCGATCCAGGCAGTAACCGCCGAGAACCAGAATTTCGAATGATAAAATAATAAAAAATCGTGAAAAATCATTTCACTGTTACAAATCTGCTGGCTGAAGACCTCCGCAGTTGCGACTTCATAGGTTTTGAAGGGTAAGTGTTGTTCTACCAGACAGTGAAAAAATCAGATTGATTTGAGGAGTGGCCGCCGAGAACGAGAATTTTGAAAAACCTTAAAAATCTGCTCAATTTTAGGTTGTTTAATGACAACTGACATTTAAACTATCATAAATCCGGACTTTGAAGGTGTGTGATGTTGCGACTTCATAGGTTTTGTAAAGTGAGGTTTGCCTTATCAGAACATGTCTTAGCTGTACCGATCCATTGAAACGTCGCCGAGATCCAGGCTCCTAAAGAAGCGGGTAAAAAACCGTTTTTCAGCTCATAACTTCTTCAGAATTGCATGAATCATGTTGCGACTTCATAGGTTGGATTCTCCTCATCAAGAGCTTTCAGATGATATATAATATGTGGGGGGTTCACGCCTTCCACGGCATATGCCCGGGGGTGGAGTACCTCTCTTCACTAATTCTCCACCCCGCCCATTTCAATGTATTGGCGGGAGGCCGCCAGTGGAGAATTAGTGAAGAGAGGTACTCCACCCCCGGGCATATGCCGTGGAAGGCGTGAACCCCCCACATATTATATATCATCTGAAAGCTCTTGATGAGGAGAATCCAACCTATGAAGTCGCAACATGATTCATGCAATTCTGAAGAAGTTATGAGCTGAAAAACGGTTTTTTACCCGCTTCTTTAGGAGCCTGGATCTCGGCGACGTTTCAATGGATCGGTACAGCTAAGACATGTTCTGATAAGGCAAACCTCACTTTACAAAACCTATGAAGTCGCAACATCACACACCTTCAAAGTCCGGATTTATGATAGTTTAAATGTCAGTTGTCATTAAACAACCTAAAATTGAGCAGATTTTTAAGGTTTTTCAAAATTCTCGTTCTCGGCGGCCACTCCTCAAATCAATCTGATTTTTTCACTGTCTGGTAGAACAACACTTACCCTTCAAAACTTATGAAGTCGCAACTGCGGAGGTCTTCAGCCAGCAGATTTGTAACAGTGAAATGATTTTTCACGATTTTTCATTATTTTATTATTCGAAATCCTGGTTCTCGGCGGTTATTGCCTGGATCGACCTACTTTCTTTGCAGTACGTCATAACAAAATGTACTTGATGAAACACACAAAGTCTAGCTGGGTTTTACTTACAAATAGACCTTTTGACTAACAGTTTACTTTATTTTTATTTTTATGCGCTGTAGTCATCGTATTTGTGGCCCTAAAGAGGGCCGTTAGGTCACAGTTGTTGGCCCTAGGGGCCATTAGATGAGAGTTCTTCAGTTATCCGAAGTCCTCCCTCCCCCTACCCCCCCCCCCCCCCGGTCAACGTTTTTGGGAGGTGAGTGTCCGACACTACCACCTTCACTTTTGGCCGGCCAGTGGTAACTGGAACCACCTTCACTTTTGGGGGGCCCGGCTCCACCTATCGCACCTCTGGCCGCATTCCCCTGCGGTATATCCTGAGGGCCATTTGCGTTGCGTCGTCTTTAATTGCAGCTGCGGGAGTAGGCTGCTCATGCCAGCGGATTGAGCCATTCCCTACTACTACGATCTGATATGTTCAAATTGTATAAATACAATAAAGAAAACAAAGAAGGCTGCAATTTGAAAAATCAAAAGAAATACAGGTGGATCTTAGGGATGTTTGAAAGGCTGACTGATATATCCAATGCGCTGGATTTGAGTTAAAAGTGTTCGTGGAACACGACAATTAGTAGAGAAAATGTAGAGGTTTTCCGCCAATAACTTTCCAAGAATCCATCTTTTACTTTCTCTTGGCTTGCTTGCAGACGCTTCTTCCTCATATTCTAAATTTAATTCGCCCTTGAAATGCGTTTATCATCCGCATTTTGATCTCTTTATCTATGGAAAATATGGGGAATGGCTCAGTCCGGTGGGTAGCGCTAGCTCCTTTGCGACTGCCATCAGGAGCGATGCAACGCAAAGGGCCCTCAGGATATACCATAGGCAAATGCGGCATAGCTTTGCTCCATAACGCGGCGCCGTCGCAGTAACGACAGTCGATCGGTCGATATTATTCTTTACCCGCTCCAATATGACTGCAACTATTGCAACGTGTGCAGGATGAGACAAGTCCTACAGGCGCCACTTAACCGTGTCATTGCCAAGCAGCAAAAATTGACCGAGGAGTCAGATGGTTGATGGTTAGTGCGCCAGCGCCTGAAGTCGACGCATGCAGGTGTGAACGCGCGTTGACACTGTTTTGCGGCTACCGGCCTCATTAAAAATTCCATAATGACGGGAAGATTATAAAAACCTACGATCACTCCTCGAGTTCATGCCGGATGGCAACTTTCCGCGATGTGTGCCAACTTGCTGGCATCTATGATGCCACAAGATAGGTTAGAATACTACCGGCCATGATGTGTGATCACGGACCCCTTCCCCTCTTCAACAGCGAACATTACGGACCCTAGATGTTTATCGAATTTAATAGTAAGCATATTTTATATATTATTAGAATATTAATGAAGTCTGGGCTGCAGTTGTGCTTCACTGATTAAAATTTGAAGTAAGTACACGCTTGTTATCAAATTTACAGGAATTTCTTGATGTGCTAGAATCCGCTGGGAATTACCGTATGTCGAGAGGGAGAAAAACTATCAAAGGGGCCACAGTGCAATACTACCGTTGCAACAGAATTTACTCCATACCGAAACGTTTAGCTGGCCTTTATGACAGCGCTGTGGTATGTAATCAGCGATACCATTCAATATTTGAATTTAGCTGAACTTTAGAATTGCTCCCGGGCTAATCAGGAGTTCAACGAAATCTCTTCGAGTTTATTTGCAAACGAGACGAACACTAAACCATGTCTTTGTACGGAAGAGTCATGCACTGCCTTTTTCAGAAAAGCTTATACTGATAACGGGTACATGAAGATTACCTTAATCGTTTTTCATAAAATTAATGGATTATTCTTAGATAGATCAGCAGACGAAGCTAATTAGTCGTAGATTCTCGAGGGTAGCATATAACTTAGTATAATCATAATCGTACATGTCAGTCGATTGCAGTAAGATTGAAGTGAGGTACTGTGATCATCACTTGCATGGAGATCAAGCTATCCGCATTCCTGCTTCGATTCGTAGACGTATCCATGAAATGAGTGTGAAGAAGCTGCCTACGCATGTGATAATCATGGTGCTGCAAAGTAAGTTTTTTTTACTGTTGCTGAGTAAGGTAAAGACATGCATTAACATCCACGCGGGGAGGGGATCGCAGCTCAAAAGAAATTTCATAGATAAAACCTCCAGATATCTGGTTTTCACGTTATGTGCCTATCTAACTATTCCTACTATCCTTTACCATGAACACATTGAACAGGAGCGAGAAGCTGTACAAACCGCATTTTCCAGCTTTTGTATGATCTCTGATGATCCCCGGCGCTTCTCTTTAAACTCATTTCTCTTCCTCCGAAGTTAACGAAAAGCTTCCAAAGTTGTGCAGATTATCTAGCCAACAGTGCTTAGCATGTTGCTGATAAGAACAAGTGAGGTATCGGAGTTATGAAATTTGCGATGAACCACAAGTCAAAGGTTGGCATTTACCGAAAAATTAAGTTTTTCATATACTCATCAGCAACATGTTTAGCACTGTTGTATTAGATATTAAGTACAACTTTAAAAGGTTTTCGTCAACTTCAAAGAAAGAAAAATGACTTTGAAGAGAAGCGCCGGGGATCATCAAGGATCATACAAAAGCTGGAAAACGCGGTTTGTATAGCTTCTCGCTGCTGAAGCATATGAAGCTTTATTTTGAGCTGCTCGCCTCCCCACCGGGGATGTTAATGCATGCGGCCCTAAGTCTTAGAGATTTGCGCTTAACTAACAACAAAAAATAGCCATAGACGTAACACAAGCTGCGGTCTGCAACTATATATACTTATGCGGACACATTTTATTTTGAATTTATCGCGCGTTTTTTGAGTTGAATTCAAAAAACGCCATTTGAAAGAACGTAGCTGAAGGCAGTATAAGCAGCACAGGAATGATATTTGGCTCAACCTTAAAGAATAGTTAGTCGAAGTCGTTTTTGACCCTTTCAATTGTACAAACACCTCGCTCTTTCTCTCTGACACTGCAATATCTGGCATCCATATTTCCACGGGGGCTACAGTGTCAAGGTTTGAAAGATATCTGCTAGCTCTGCTATATATACAAATATTTAGAACTATAATATTATAGAAAATATCAAATTAAAAATTTGAGCGAATTAAATTCAAAATCTCCAAAAAACCTCAAAAGCCACACGAATTGCTTTATCTTTATTTCTGTCTATGGATATACAGATGTGATCCGAGAGGCAGGGATCATCTTCAAACAGATCATTGTTTTCTTAAAGAAAAATCATCAATAATCAGATAACAGTCATCTATATACTGCAACAAAAGTACATTTTTTGTTTTGTCTCCTACATCCGCGACAAGTATAAAGTGCCGTGTCGGTCCTTGAAGTTTTTTTTTTATGGTAATGAAAAACGTAGAAAGGTGAGAGCCTGGGACATCATGCACAATTACAGGGTAAACCCCTTGCTCACTTATTTCGATTTCTCCACGAAATTCTCGACTTTCAGTGGCTGAAGAGTATAGCTGGCTTGTAGCAGGTTGCGGATTCTGAGATTGAGAAATTTTCGAAAAGTTGCGGTAACAAGCAAAAAATCAAAAATTACCTCCAAAAGCGACGGGTTCACTACATAGGTAATTTGAGCAAGTTGCTCAGACTGAAAACTGTATAGCTGAGAGTAAGACATTTCGATAGCTGCTCTACATCATTTCATCTTTTATACCTCCATATGTGGCACAGTTTTTCTAATATCTGACAATGATTGGGAACCACGCGAGGTAATGAAAACTTATGTCACACATTATGCCAAAGACCTTATATCATGAGGAAGTATTGATTTGACAGTATGTTACACATTCCTTTACTCCATGAAGTACATAGTAGAACGCTTGATCTACTGGACGGGGAGCGGGCAGTACACAGGCGGGAATAAAGGGGGCTTTATGGGTCAGCACTCATTTATGCTTATTTGTCTTACATTGCGCCCTCTTCCATTCCATCCTTTCATCCTCATATTCTTTTACTGCTTAATTATTTCATAAGACTCTTCATTCTTATTATTTTATATTACTTTTGGAGGCCTTCCTGTGAACTACTGATGAGGGGCGGCAGGTTGGCCACACTTCTGGTCTAGTTCAAGCCCCGAAACCAGAGTGTGAAAATTCAATCTTTGGTACATACTGGACTGCACATCTCAATTAACTTTAGCATTACCCCAGAATATTCATGAAAACTTTCAACTTTTGTAATGTTTTGTCTGATTTGAATCACTTCTCATTTATACTTGGTGTTAGAATTCTTCGTCCCAGAGTCACACCGAATTGTGCCAAAAAACAACTCAATGATCTATTTTATTTTTTTTATGAATTTACTCCATGACATTATGATTTTAACTTGATTTTTGTAATTATTCCGTCTGCTTATTTTTTTTACCTTTTGTTTTTGCATATTTCTTGTAATGTATCTTATTCATAAACACAAATTTTTTGCTGTCTTGATTGATATATAATGGGTGTATGACTTTATGAACGATAGCATGTGCCAGCCGCCAGCTGGGTTCCATACGCGATGCGCTGATCGCTCCGCCCCCTTGTTAATTAGCCTAGGAATGCGTTCAGCTATTGGAAAACTCTCTAATATTTCGTTCATGCTTCCTTCAGTTGGTTCCAATTTGGATAACAATAGATTTCAAAATTTTAATTCAATTGAAAATCAGTTTTCAGATCATTTTTCATTATAAATTAGTTCGCAAGCTTTTTTCAATGTATTTCAGTTATTTGTTCCTGGTAGGTTTGTCCAAATTGAGTTCTCATTGTAAGTATGATGAAATTATTTCGAAAATACTTGGAAAAGTGTTTTGCTTTATGCATATGTGTCACCATATTGAATATTCTTTAGTGTGTGCTCTCAAGATTAGTTCAAAAAGAAGTCAGCTTATCGAGAAATATTATTATTATTGCTGAAATGACCAACATGATTATCTCTTTCATCGGAAAAGTAAGTTTTTAAACCCTAATCATAGCTAAAAACAGATTTTACTTCGAACGAGAATTCAAAACAAGCATTATAGGCGAATTTTGATATAAGCAAACTATTTTTTGATAACTTGTATACATCACTACATTTGGTAATGTTTCGCACAACCAGATGTCACTCGTTTTGCAAGTATGCGGTCATATCATACAAACTTTTTCAGATTTCAGGAAAATCACACTGCATTATATTTTTTCGAATCTGCTTTAAATATCAAAATTCGTTTATTTTGCTTCCAAAAACTGCTATCCTCAATATAAATCGATCTGTAACATAATCGAAATTGCGTGTGAACTAGTCATAAGATGTGAGGTCACTGAGACAATCATGCCTGAGGTGTTCTAGATTGATTTCACACTTCAAAGTTGAATATCCAGGAGTCACTCGGTCATTCATAGGTAAATTAGCAAATCTCTTGAATTTCACGATCAACACATCTACTGTTAATTGATGGCAAAAAAAAAGAAGAAAAAAGAAATCAAAACAAGATTTTGTAAATAATCAAGCTTCATCCCAGCTTGCAGCAGGCTTATAGCTCACTATCAGAAGTTGCTTTCACTTGACTAGGGAATATGGCCATGAACCAGTGCTAGAGCTGTCTGCAAAGAACTCGTCCATCATGCGATAGGCGGGGCTAAGGGTGCGCACCTTATTGACACACGCCTGCCTAAGCGCGCGCTATCGTTCATAAAGTCCGCCACCCATATATAATATGTGGCAGTAGCGCGACCTCTGAGGTAACTCTCGCACCTCAGCGCAGTGAGTGCGAGGCTGCGGAGAATTCTCTCTGCAAGAGGTTGCGGACGACGAGGGCGCGCTTACGGTAGCTCAGCCGCGACGCTGGTGTCAGCCTTGGCGGCTGCCCGTGGCACCGGCGGCTGCCTGGATAACACTTGCTACGCACCCCAAGGGGTAAGTGAGCTTGCTGATTACGAAAATTTTATTGACAGAGCCAATTTGTGCCAGATTTGCTAGCTAGTAACTTCTAGAGTTTTCTGGGAACTTTTAATGAGAGGTCTCAAGAATTACCAGCAGTGATGGAGCTTCACTAATTGACTTGAGAACCGGATGAAGAGAAAACAGATGCGTTTGCATAATGTTACAAGACAACAAAATTCAAAACTGTACCTCTAACTCAGACAATCAATGGGAACTTCCCGAGGTCCGTGAGGGAACTTTCCTCGGGTCACCTGCGGAAGTTCCCGTGAAGCGCTCGGGAAGTTTGCAAAAAAGTCCTCGGGAAATTCGCAAGAAGTGGGAAATCTCCCGAGAACTTATCTACAGAACTTCCTGAGGGCTTCACATTGGCTCCGCGTAGCTGTACCGAACCTTCATGATGAATCCTGCTACTTCATAAAGCCGCACTCTTAGTACAGCTACTCAAAGTAGTGTAGTAGTAAGGGTGGAGCACTAGTAGTAGTTATACGCAAAAACAGATATGCTCCATCATTTATTGTTATAGCAGTAGATATAACATATCGACGGAGGGAATGGGAGAATTTCTTCAAGTTCTTAAAAGATCGAATTACAGTAGCCCGGATAATGCGTAAGGAGTATCATATTGATAGTGAGATATGAAGTAAGCATGTAGTGAATATAGAGGTAAGCGGGGAGTAAGTAAATGAAGCACTGATTAATGAGAAACATGCTTAACTAATGAGGCAAAGGCACGATGTTACATGAGAAGACTTATGATGGATCAGAAATTAAACATCAGGTTCAAACAGGACAGCGACGGGATCAAATTCCACTACTGTGTAGCGCTTTCCTCTTCCATTCTGACTTCGTCATACTTGCCTTGTCCTCTCTACCAAATCCGACCTGCGTAGCCTTGTATTTCTGGAAAACAAATTTTTAGTATAAAAACAACTGAGACTAAGTTTGAACCTTTGAAGGCACAAGTTTTCCCTTGTCGAGGCGATAATAACGGACATCCTCGCTGTAAAACTGAATTTAGAAGCAGAAGACGATTCTGGAAAACTTACAGTGCTTCTGCGATACAGGTCCTGATTTAGCCGCAGTAGAAAGTTTTTTGCTCCAGCAGATAGTTGAACTTTTTCTCGCGTTCTTCATCGGATGTACCCAGAGAGATCCAGTAACTAAATCATTTGAGTAGGTAAAGACTGCTTACGAAACACCAACGCACCTAGTGCGCAAGCTTCTTATCGAATTCAATCTGTATCCCTCCAAATCCTCGTTGCCGAGGCAATCCTCGAACAACTTCATTACTCTTGCTTAAAGATTATTGTATATTCTCATTAGTGATCTCTAATGTGCACAGCTTCGGAAAGAAAGCAAGAGAGCAGTGCTAAATCAGAGAGGAAAACAGGAAACTTTAAGAAAAGAAAGAAAGAAAAGCAGTGCTAAATCAAAAAAGAGAAAGAAACATTATCATAGAAGTGAGTTGAAGCATAACTAGTGTCAAATAAAGCGCAATCACGCTCACCTGAAAGTCGACTTGTGCCCTCAAAGTAGAAGCCTTGAACTATTTGTTCGTCGCGACTATATTCGGCTGATGCCCTTGCTCTGAAAAAATTCACGTTAGAAAAGAGGAAAGAAGAGATCTAATATGCAAAGAATCGTAAGCGCAGTTTGAAAATCATCAAATCGCGAGAAACCGCGGTGCGGTCCCAAAGCGCACGCACATATAGCACCTTCACATAACTGCTTCACTAGTAGGAGGAGAAAAGATCGAAATTACAACCACTCAGCTAGGAACCAGAATCTAAATACTACCTAAGATAACACTCCAATTTGAATTGCTAAACTTTCACCATCTATAACAGATTGACAGACTAGCAGTATAGTGAAATAGCGCAAGTGCACTGTTACGAAATACAGAAAAGAAAGCAAGGAGAATCAGACGCTGAAAAAGACTTGCCTAAATTCATATTTTCCTTTTTATATATAAAACAGCACAAAGTCACATTTAGAAGAATTTCGAAACACGTAAAATTTATGAGTAAATGTAAAGTCAAAAGGAGTCATTTCCTTATTACATGGTGCATCATAACAGCCGCACTCGCAAAGAGCTGTACAATAGATGGTCGCACATATATTAAGGTAATTCAATAGCCGGATCATCTATTTGCTTGTTTTGGCTCTGGGTCATAGCTTCACACCTCGCACTGCGACAGAGGACGGTAATTATGATGTGCGAAGTAACAAGCAAGAGGTCACTTCACCCTTAACGACAAGTGATGCAAATACATTTGAATAATGCCACATGGAAAGAAGAGAATTCAGTCAATTTACAGAATAAAACGAGAGGACGATGGAAAAGAAACACTAGAAGTCCGCACTTGCGCTAAATCAGATATCGCACTGACCATTACATAAGTTTGATGAAGACTCTGTGACTTTTTACGACAATTCAGTCATTAGAATGAAAGTAGCGCTATTACGAAATACCGCGAAGCTCTCGGAAAATTCCCTTTTCTTAAAAGCTTTTGGAAAGTTTCGCATTTATAGATACTTCCCGAAGAAATCCTCGGGAAGTTCCTAACTGCGTTGCTCCTGACGTCAAAGTTTTCGGGAAACTCCCATTTTTGCGCTTCCATTCACCTCTGTGTTAAACGAGTTCTTCGGGAAGTTTGCCAAAATTGGCTTGTTTTCGGGAAGCTCCCGTGAATTGTCTGAGTAATAAACACAGGGGCATATGCAATACTGTGCGCTTTTAATTACTTATAATATAATTTTATTGTGAAGCGAACATTCGTCTAATTTGTTCTGTTACTTCAGAAGAACGCCATCTTTTCTGCACTCCTGGATCAGCGCTCGAGCGACGAATTTTGACAATAACACTTCCCGAGATCAATGCCATTGCCAGGTCTTTTGCACGAAAGATTGAAAGTAACTCAAGTAAGTCTTACTCTGATTTCTAATCTTGCAAAAACTAATGACTTGAAGCAGAGCACACAGAACATGGTCTTGATAACGATTTTGAATTGGTTCAAGAACGAAATAGCTCGATAGCCAGTGGAGAAAGTCATACTCAAGGTAGATAGGTCTACGCTTGGCTTTCGTCGGAAAATTGGCCAATCTTGTGTATTAGAAGATGCCCTGAGTGAAGTAGAACTAGCAATGTTTGAGCAGTATGAGCGTAATCGAAATGGTGTTCTGAGCCAGTTCCACGGTCTGCGACGAGAAGAAAACAGAAAACGGTAAGTCATTAGAATTTGTCATTTACTAAAATTCTAAGCCAGCGCTTTGTAGACTGCTTCGAAAGCAAATCTTTGCTGCAATTTGCAGGCTAGGCCGATTCACCAGAGTAAGTTAAAAGTTTTGAATGACACTGCAAAATTTCATAATTTCTCCTGTCTATAAGTCTGTTTGACCTATTTCCTCTATTTAACCGCAAATCAATGTCTTCGAGAAATCATTCAAACAACAGGAAAGGGGTTTACCTGAAAGACAAAGTTTGTGGTTCGAACCGAGAAAACGTTTAGCTCTACCATGCTTTCGATACATAGAATTATGTACTTTGGTGACTTCACTTCAAACGATAAAAGAAAGACAGCCATCTGAACAGCATTCGGGTCGAAGCCTTACATGCTTGACGACCACAACAGATCGACAAAAATATGAGCACAATCCCAACGTGAGTGCCAAAGTCGCCGCGGCTCGGGTCTTCGCAGCTTCCTCGCTTATGCCTTGCACCGCGGACGTACAGTCGAGTAGATTTCCTGCTTAATATAGTGTCCCTGCAGACGCGACAACGCTGGGGCGTCAATAATTGCCTTGCGAGCTCCCGAGCTAGTGTTATCCAGTGTTCTCTTTGCTTATTTCATGCTTTTTAGTTGATTCGTTGCTGATAAAGAGGAAAAGGGTAGCTTAGAGAGTACTTTCTGTTTTCTGAGAAGTTCTATCATCGCATATTCACAGATATCCACGTGGAAGCATTTCGCGTCAGCTTCTTGTCTTTTTTTTGTCATTTCCTTTTCTTCTGTCACTTCTTTTTTCAAACCTCCTCCTTGTGAAGCGTTTCTTTGAACGCTAGTTGGCTTGTCTTGCAGCAACTTCGGCTTTCACCCATAAGAAATAGCGTTTTAATCAAGTATTTCATGTGATAAAGACAATAAGACAATCGTAAAAACCCACTAGCGCTCAAAGAAGTACCTCACAAGAAGAAAGAGACATGAAGTGACAAAAAAATAGACAAGAAGCTGACGCGAACTGCTTCGACGTGGATATCTGTGAATATGCGATGATAGAACTTCTCAGAAAACAAAAACTACTCTCTAACTTACCCTTTTCTTCTTTATCAGCAACGAATCACCTAAAAAGCATAGAATAAGCAAAGAAAACGCTGGAAAACACTAGCTCGGGAACTCGTCAGGCAATTACTGACGCCCCAGCGTTGTCGCGTCTGCAGGGACACTATATTAAGCAGGAAATCTACTCGACTGTATCATCTTCGTCGTTTCCCTACTCGTTTTTTTTTCTTTGACCATTTTTCCTCGTAAATTATGTTTCGATTCTTACCTCATAAATCACCTCGTTTAGGATCGCCTCTAATCCCTCTTCCTGAAATAGTAGTTTTTTATCAGACTGTCGAGACGCAGACTAATTAGATGGTCCGACAGTCCCCACGCCAACTGGGCGGTGCCCCAGCAACTCCAGATGAGCTGTGCCTAACCGGGTGACCGGCGGTTTCCCTTCTTCTCTCATTCTACTTATAAATATATAATAAAGATTCTAGTCATAATGTCATGTTCATATAAAGTAAGACAATCAGGGTGAAGGATTCAAGTCAAGAGAGTGCACCTCTTGGACTTGACATGGAGGTCCCGGGTTGTTTTCTTTTATGACTCACATTTTTTAATCAATTTTTCAAGAATTTTTTTTTTGAATCAACAATTTTTGAATTTAATCAGCATAGATTTTGGCCAAATCTTTTGCAAACTCCCACCGCCGGCACCAGCCCTCATCTCCTACGTATCTACGTAGCTATTATCTCCTATCTTTTCTTTGTCACCTTATTTTCTCATTTTCTTTCTTATTTCTTGAGTCAGGCGATGAGTTTGAGTTTGTATTCATATGATATTCTCATTTGAGATAACATTTTGCATTTATTGATATTCAATCATTTTTTCTTGCTATTTCCGAGCCGTGATCCCCCGAGCCGTGAAAAAGCAAACCGTGATTTTCCCGACGCGATCTTTCTAGATGAGTCCAACTCTCTAGATTGAGAATCCGCGAGCCGTGAATTCCGCGAGCCGTGATTTCCTAGAGCCGTGATATCCCGGAGCCGTGAATCATTGATATTTTCTTTATGTTTTCCTTTCTTTTCAACTGGGAAACCCCAGGTTTTTTTTCACGCGCACATACATAACTCAATGACTCTATCGCCACAGCCGGCATTGTACATATGTAAATAAGGTCTCGCAAGTGGAAAATGCACTGTGAACCAAAATTTTTTTTCCCTTTCCAACTGTCACTAGTGGAAAGACCACTGTGATAGCATTTTTTGACTCTCGCAAGCGGAAAACGCACTGCGAGCCCAATTTTTTTTCATAACTCTCACTAGCGGAAAGACCACTGTGAGAGTACTTTCGCTTTTCATAATTCTCACTAGTGGAAAGACCACTGTGAGAACGCTCTTCAATTTTTATGACTTCACTAGTGGAAAGACCACTGTGAATGTACTTTTTTCCCGCTCACTAGTGGAAAGACCACTGTGAGCCCATTTTTTTCCCAATTTCTCACTAGTGGAAAGACCACTGTGTGCCTCACCAAATTCAAAATTAAGTTCTCACTAGTAGAAAAACTACTGTGAGTCCAATTTTGCTTAGGGAGAGTTTCATAATTATTTATTATGATTGCCTGAGGAAAATCCACGGGCTATCTAATAGCCCGCGGTTACTTCCAAAGGCTACGCTCCCAGTCCCTTATTTTTAATGGCTAATCACTCAAAAACGAGTGACATTTAGCCGCCAGAAGTGGGCACATGCAGCGGCAGTGCCCTTTGAACCTCGTATCCCATCGACGAATGTCTGGGCCAGAGGTATGCGGCAATTGTTTGATGCTAAATAGCCACCTGTGGACTCTGGCTGGATCAGCGTTCTTATGGAAGCGAGTACGACTGGAAAGAGGTATCCGTAAGGACTCCTCGAAATGATATTCTCTAGGGAAGGACCAACAGAACTCATGGAAAACTTTCCTACAACTCTAATTCGCACATCCATAAGAGGTATGCTTTTCTAGCCCTTGTCTATGTTTTTTTGGTTTACTCTTCTTACGCTGGTTTGAAAAAAAAATTTTCAAAAAAAAAACCAACATAGGTCACACATGTTTGAGTCTTTGAGAAACTGTGAGAGTCAACCACTACCTCAAATTGACATATCAGCATGACTTTAGATTGGTTCTGAAAAGAAAATCTCATGAATCACGATGACTAGCTAAATTCGCTAATCCGTAAATTCGTTTGGTTGTCTGCCAAGAGAATTGAGGCAAACTTACCAAAAATGAGTCTTTATTTCAAAAAAAAAATGGTATTTTCAGAGAATACCATGAGTTTCAATGAGTTCTCGAAATTGCGACTATATGAAGCTCTTATTTTGATGTGGTTGATTGTTTCGCTCACAACCTTCAAAAACAGGTGTAATATTGATCTTCAAAAAAAATCAAAAACGATTTCTTGTAAATCACGTATTTGCAGCTGCAAAGTGACATTTGAAAAAGCTGCCACGACTCTCGAAAGCATTTGCTCTCGCGTTCTCACCAAGCATTCTTCTCTTTTTTCTTTTGGAATTTGCTATTCTCCTAAAAAGGAACGGTTCCCTGCGCTAAATTCGATCATTTCGACCACGTATTTTTGTCTTCTTTCTGAAATGAAAACGGCAGTCTTACTCAAATCTGCATTTTGTGCAACCCCACATCATCGTCTTACATCATTTCATCTTTAAGAAGTTATTGCAATTCATAAAAAAAAGACTTCTGCTAATTTGTATGAATTTAACTACCAATCCTCACTACCGAGGCAGTTGATTTGCCCGAAACGTATAAGACCGTGCATAATCTTCACGCCTTACTTTCACTAAGATGCCTTTTTTGCTGCTAGTCTCTGTTAGGGCTTCCAATAGTCCGACTTTTCTAAAATAACAGAGTTTCTACCGTAACAAAAAAACTTTTCGGAAATCTAGGTTCAATCAAAAAAAATTGCAAAACGTTTTTTGGCGTTTCAGCTAGAGTAATTTTCAAGTTCAAATTAATAGCAAATGTAGTCAACTGATAAAAAGTTCAGACATTCAATGAAGAACAACACTTAGAGCCGAGACCAATCGATTAACGATTTGGCGTATTCGTAGCAAAGAAATACAAAAAAAAGTGCGCACTTAACAGTAGTAAAGTAACGGCGATCTACTATTTGAGATTCGCAAAAGCATATCTCTATTCACCTACATGGCATGCGCAATATTGATGCACTACAGCGAGCACTATGAATCAAGACTGTGGGAATATATACTAAGTGCCCTTACGTCTAGAATTCAGGATACTGAGACCAATAAGTCATTTCCAACATCATAGAGTTTAGCAGCTTCAAAAAAAAAACTACGCTTTTTAAACGTTGCCTCTGCAGCTCTCTCCAACTCTAATGCTATAGAACCTTTTGCTTCCAGCAAATGCATTATGACCACAATATCATAAAGCACTCTTCGTTATAGCTACCTCCTTAACCTTATCAATCACAATTATCGTAGCAATTTCCACTCACATTTTCCTTGTCAAACATCATTTGATGTGATATAAAACTAACCCACAAAAAAAAAGTCAAGAAAACCTCAACTTTACTTTATTATTTCTTAAAGTCTTCTTGATCACTTTACCATAAGCGGTATGTCTTCATTCTAGTGTATAGCAACGCCTGTCCGAAAATGAGCATTGGGATGACCATGCAAAAGGCACTACAAATTAGTAACAAAAAAAACTTTTCTTGCTTTATCATGTGAATAGTAACTTCATCCGTTCACTTTGCGTTATCGTCGGCATTCAACGCAGGTGGATTTCAACCGCTCATCATCTACCATACAAAAAAAAATTCGGGTACAACATTAGAAAATTATCTGAATTCAACTGAATTCAGCCTAGTTCAAAAAATTTTTTTTTCTCTGACTGCCCATTTCAAAAAAAAATACGACAGCATAAGCGTCGCTTACACTTTTCCGCTGATCAGCTTCTCACAATGATGACTAGTTACCTTTGAGTCAACTCCGGTACTTTCCTAACTGCAAAACAACCGTGCGATACAAAGGCGTGAATGAATCTCACCTCGCGCGACTGATACGCTCGCGACAGTTTCAGATATGCGAAAGCGAGGCTGAGAAACCAAATCCGAGTAACTGAAGGAAAATAGTACAGTGGAATTAGAATTGTTTTGTTCTTATTGATGTCCTCGAACAACCGCTTCATGAAAATCTTGTTTCTTTTGCGTCATTGTTGTGTCACTGTTCCCATGCCAGGTGTTCACATTGTGTTACAATCAATTTTCTGTTCAAGATTTAGTCTACACTCACATATTCAGAGCATGTGAGGAAGACAGAAATGCATATGTCCCATTACATTGTGTTCACCCTTGTATTGCAATTGTTTTCTGCTGTCAGATGTTCAGAGCGTCTGAAAAGACAGGATGTTTTGAGAGCCAGTAGCAAACTTCTCATTAACTTCATTTACGCAGCGGCTACTGGCACAGAGTAAGTTTGCCGCAAGCGCCTGCACTATAACAAGAAATACTTCTCCGATGGGCGACTCGGAGAAGCCTTTCAGTTAGTCAAAATTTCACCCCACGCCCTTGTGGGCAACGTTAGGGAAGTGTTCCCTCATGAGTTGCCCACACGATAGTTTCCGAAAATTTCATGTTTTGTTGCCTTTAATTTTTCTGGCTGTAACGACGAATCTTCAAAACGTCAAAATTTTGAACGTTCGGTCACATTGGCGATTTTTTTTGCATTCAAAATTGTTGTATGCATATTTTCAAGTATATTTATTTCTTCAATATTCACGCCAACCCCGTCACCACATATCAAAACTTTTGAACATATCCCCGTTCGTCTTTTGAGCTATACCGCTGCTACCATGTCTTTTTATCCTCGCTATCATTGCAATACTCGTTCCTTCAGCTCGGATAAAGCCCACCCATCTACGCTGTATTGATATCACCATTATCGCTTTGATCCACCTTTCGAACAACTGCGGAAGCCTCACCTTTTGATATCCAATTTGCAAGCTTATTTTGCTCTGCTTATTCTTCAGCTCGAGACGAGCTCTTCTTTTGACAGGGCGTGCGAAAGCCGCGTTTTTTCCTATGAGCCCTTTTCCCCCTGTCCACATGCATTCGAAGAGCAATCAAGCGACTGAGCAATGATGCGATCAACAACGCCTTTCCTGCCCGCAGTCAGTGACAACAAGTGGTAAATGGGCAACCTTGATGACGATAATGGTAGCAGCAGCAACCTCCTGCACTCAAACGAAGCAGCGATGAAGCAAATGGTACATGGGCAGCTTTGATGACGATTACCTACTCTTGAGCCATGGTCAAGGACGAAAGCTCGGGACGAGCTTTACTATGGAATGGACATGTCGAGACGCAGACTAATTAGATGGTCCGACAGTCCCCACGCCAACTGGGCGGTGCCCCAGCAACTCCAGATGAGCTGTGCCTAACCGGGTGACCGGCGGTTTCCCTTCCCCTCTCATTCTACTTATAAATATATAATAAAGATTCTAGTCATAATGTCATGTTCATATAAAGTAAGACAATCAGGGTGAAGGATTCAAGTCAAGAGAGTGCACCTCTTGGACTTGACAAGACTGATGGACCGAATGGAATGCAGCCACAAAAGTGCAGAACTTGCAGCCATTGTGAGAGAAACTGATTTTATTTGCTCTTCTTGCCATCTACGTAACATGAAACGTTGCTAACAAGAAGGTGTGACTTGAGTGAATGCCCAGGAATAAACCCGATCCTCAATGAAGATTCTGTGATGTAGAAGCGAAAGACTGACAGACGAGAGGAAAAGTTCGAAAAATTTCAGACACCAAAATAGCTACAGTTTAGGCAAGGAGCCAGAATGATCACTTCTGAAAGGATAGCAGCTTATAGTGAAAATACTAAGAAAGCTAGTGAGGAGAGGCAGACACCAAACTGTGCATTGATCAAAGTCTGGCACGCGGCGAAAGGCCCCAGCGAGGCGGTCGCAACCAACCGGGATGGTTTTTGAAATTCAAGTTGGAATACATGTAAAGACGTGGATTACTGCAGCACTATCGAAGAAAATGCTTTGCCACATAATTTTCGTGGTAAAATGTATATTTCTGTGAGTTTTTCTGAAAGAGAAATGATTTTTCTTGTACAAAGTGCCTGTGGATTACGCATCAGCTTGCGATACACAGGAACTTTAATAGGGTCGAATACAGAAACTGTGCAAACTCCCTGAAAGAGCTACGCTGAAAATCATTTACCTCGTGAGTGATTTGTTCGAATTCTTCTACGTTGTCTCCACTTAAATTATTTTGACGCGGTTCTCTTGCGCATTTGTTAAATAATTTTTTAATGTAAACAATGTCGCCAAACTCATTCTGTTGACTATGGCAGAGCATTTAGTAAAAAGCTGCAAAGTTACGGTTTTCGTTATAATGATCTTGAAGCGTTGCGACCATTCTTTTTTGGGTGGCTCATAAGGATGAGCACAACAACTCAAACAATGTCGCCGGGAATTAAGATGATAAGATGAAGTAAGAATCTTGAAAACATATAAAAAAATTAGACCGTTTCGTAGCGCTTTTTTAACTTTAAAGATAAACTCTTCGTTTTGATGACCAAATTTTTTTGTTTATTTTTGTCCAGCAATCGCCACACCTAAACTATATTTGGGAAATGGGTGGTAAATGTGTGACAGACATTTTTTGGACATTCCAACCTAAAATTAACATCTTTCATAATTTTGCAAAAACAACCCTAGAATGAAAAAGATGCCGTTCTGTGAATACCATGTCGAAAAGTGAAACATTCGGTGATTTCAGAATCTCGAGAAGGGATACGGGCTATCTCGCTAACTTTCTTTGTGCTTTACAGAGCATCAGTTTCAAAAACTTCGATGACAGCTTACTCTCGCAGTCTCAAGAACTCCTCGATAAATTAGAGCGTCTGTGGCAGGACAAGGCCAAAGGCCCAATAACGTATGAGATAGAAGACGCCAAAGGGTCAGAAGTGAGCGTATGGAATTTGCTGTGTTCAAGTGAAACGGATATGACACGACAGGAACTAGCCGCAGACGAGGTACCAGCTTTGTATTCTGTTTTTAGCACTGTCTGTTTTGTTGACTTGTGGTTACAGAGTTGTGGCAATCGTACACAGTTGCAAAACAATGAAGACAAGCATAGCTACTTCCCTAAAGTGGAAACATCAACTTCAACGGCAATCGCGAGGGCCTCAGCAAAAGTCAGCACAACGCTACCAGTCAGAACTAGCCGTGGTCGTTTGATCAAGCGCAAAATAATCATGGATTTGTAGAGGAAAAAGCTAGCAGTTTATTGAACTATGGCTGAAATCTTAATCGCATAGATTGCAGTGAAGTCTCCGTGTAGTTCTCATAAACGTCCAGTGATAGCCTGTTATCGCAGATTTTACTGTACACGAGAAGTGTAAAAAAAACAGTCAAGATTGAATGAAATTTGCAAGAGTAAGAAAAGAGAAAGATATTTAAAGGCAGCGTCCAGGGAGATCTGAGCCTATGGGGATTTCACTTGGAGGGTAATCTTGGAGCCCTAAGTAAAATGCCCAAGCGATAGCTCAGATGGTGAGCTCACAGTTGAGATATTCGCCCCGCATGGATTCATGGCGAGACGATCAGTTCCGCGCGAGACCCACGCGTGTCGCGCCATGAATCCATGCGTACGATCCCGGGGTCCACTTTTGGAGGCAAATATCTCAAGTGTGCGTTCACCATTTGAGTTGCCGCTTGGGCAGTGTCTTAGTTAGGCCCCAAAATTACTTTACTCGCCGTATGTCCAGATTTGCTGGACGCTGCCTTTAAGTGAAGCTTTTTTGGTGGGAACCAAGTGTCGTAGGCGATAGTGGTGTCGATAATAGATTTATCCACAGACGAACCCGGTGTTGAACCGGGGGAGCAACCTATAATACAATCGGGGGCTCCTTATATAGGTAGTAAGGCGGAGCTGACCCGTGCACAATCAGAATGTCCAGGAAATATGTGCAAGAAAGAGGATGCCGCGGCTTGGCGCGGCCCCTGGAAGATAGGTGCCACTCATTGGTGAGTGATTCGGCACTTAAATATAAGCGATGGGGGAATATAGCCTTGGGGAATACCCGTAAGCTATTAGGATTATTATAGAATTGTGAGGTTGATGATACATAAATCATCAACACTCCGGGCGAGCAAGGAGGAGGCGAAATCTGTTGAAATGTAAATCAATAAATACAATCAAACCTCCTAAAAGCATTTGTAATTAGAAATTGAGATATAGCTGTGTTCACGAGTGTAAGCTATTAGATTGGTTGTCGAGGTTGATGATTCATAGATCATCAACACTCCGGGCGAGCAAGCAAGAAGTTAATCTGGTAAGCACAAGATACAACTAATGCATAGATTTGTATAGACTTAGACATACTTATGGGAGCTACAGACAGAAGAGAATTTACGGTGAACAACTGTAGTGGTTGGTGGTTGCTGTTCCGTGGTGTAGCTTCGCCTTTCGCCGTCGTCTCTTCTTCCTCGTCGGTTCTGCCCTCGTCGGTTTTGAGTTGACAGAATCGTTATCGGTGATTGTCTTCGTGATAGTCGGCGTTTTCGTGATCAGATGGTTGTGATGTGTGATCTTGGGCATGTCCGTCATCTTTATCTTAGCTTGTGTCGTCGGTTGAAGAGTTCGAGTTCCATTCGCACTCCTCGTGTTGGGGCTGGAACTGGAGCCTAATATGCAGCGAACTTTGGCCAGCCATCGTTGTCTGTCTGCCTTAGCTTCGCGATTAGCAGCAGTTGTCCGGGTTTTCTTCTTTTTCGATAACGACTTCGCGATCTTCTGAGATGTTACTTTAGTATGCGCTTGGAAGATTCTCCTGTTGATTCCAGCTGTAGCGTTTTGATTGAAGACGGTGAACGTCTTCTTTGTCGTAAGCCATTTGGGGCGTCGCTGCGGGTGAGAAGCGAGTTTGGAGGCTTCCTGCATCATGGATGTACAACCAAAAGTGCCGACGATCTCCGTGACGTTGGTACGGCTTGTACCAGATATGACATATCCAAAGATGGTCGGGGTCAATATGAGCCCGGAGGGGAGCTTGAACACTGTTTCGGTGTGAACAGTGACGAGGTTCAGAAGATCTTGTCCAATAATGAGTTCAGGCAAGACGCTTTTATGAGTGAGCGTATCTTGAGCTATCTTCAAGTTCTTATTGGAAATGAACTGAACATCTGCATCTGAGAGATGTGCTGTATGTAAGTTGGCAGTCAACTTCTCTTTCGTGTGCACTGATATCTTCTTAAGCTTCTTTGCGTTGTGAAAGCTTTTCAAAGTAATTTGCACTTCATTGGAACTGAATGTCTCTTTCAATTCTCCCATTCCTGATGTGGTGAATGACGTCGTTTGGATGACTGGCAGCTTAAGCTCATCACCAAATTTTGATTTGATGAAGCTTCGCTGGGCGCCAGAGTCAATCAGTATTGTTATGGGTTGATAATCCCAAATTGCCTCGTTGAATATCATGGCTGAAGCCGTTTGAAGTACGCTTTGGCACACGATTGGCAGTTTGGTTGAGCTGTAGACTTTTTGTCCATTTCGCCGTGCAACGGGTACTTCACTTGTTTTGCGATGATCGAAGTTGGTTCTTTGCAGTATCTTAGAGACTTGCAAATGATGAGTGCTAGCAGGAAACTGAGACTGCTCGAGATACTCTTCCTCCTCTTTCCATTTCGGACTTTCAGTACTTGTGTCCAGATCGTTACTTCTTTGAATGTTGCTTGGAAGAAGTGTCTTCATTGTTAATGCGGTCGTTTCCCGAAGAGAGATGATGTCATCTATCGCGTCTAGGATCTCCGAAACATCAAAGTGATCGCCAACTACGGTTTCCTTCTGTATGACGGTTGCGCAGATGGCTTCAGGAAATTTCGACAAGATTAGTCGGCGCCAGATTCTGTCTGCGCTCATCTTCATTCCGGTTTGTTCCAGGTGAATGATCCGCGAATTGATTGCTTCGAAAGTTTCTCGGCAACTTTCGGGATTGTCTTTTGCTCCTTGAAGTCGTTCGATTTCATTGATGAGTATATCTGCCATGCTGGCAGAGCGATCAAAGTGCTTCTTCAGGATGTCTACGGCTATCTTGTATTTGTTTCCAACGACAGGGATGCAGTTCAAAGCAGCAGCTGCTTTTCCTTTGAGCGCTTGCTTTAGAAAAAGGAATTTGTCGCCGTCCGATAAGTCTTCGTCGCAGTGAATAAGTGAATCGAACACTGTCCAAAAACTGTTGAACTCTCTGAAGTTGCCAGAGAATGTAGGAACCTCTAGGAGCGGTTTCCGGATCCTGATCTGGCGTTCACTTCGTTCCGTTGTTGAGCTTCTTCCTATCTCGCTGTCTGGTTGACTCGGAATACTAGGAGCAGGCGTATGCAAAAGTGTCGTTTGCTCCCTCAGTTCATGTTGTCTGAACTGTATTCTGTTTTGCCATTGAACTGCTATCACTTCCAGATCGAGTGCTTCCAGCTCCAAATGCTTGCTAAGTTCAACCATCAGCTTCTCTCGTTCCTTTTCTTCACTGCATGCACTGATGTACTCAATGGCAGCGTTGAGCTGTGTTTCTTGCAATTTCACAGCGTTTTGCAAAGAATTGAGGAGATTTGTTATTACTGCTGCCTTTTCTTTGATATATTCTTCACATTCCGCTTTTGTTGTTGGAAATGTGAAGGGGACGTCTACGTTCTCCACTTCGGACTCGTAGGATTTTACGAGCTTGCAAGCGTTGTTGATTTTGTGTTTGAAGAGTTGAAGAGCGGCCATTTTTGCTATACCGACTTCTAATTCTTCTCTTCCTTAAAAAGCTGGTTGCTTCGAAGGTACAAGTTAGCGAGGTTTCGTTAACTTGTACACGTATCTTCTGGTGATCCGTTGAGTAGAGGCAGCTGTGGTGCTGGTCTCTGAGTTGCAAGCGTGCCGGGGTGGCTTGAACGCTGTGCTGACGGTAAGGTGGCTTGGACCTTGACCAGATAAGGATTGGGTTTCAATCCTCTTAAGTCAAGAGTTCTTAGTCGAACTTTGACTTTTTTGGCGAAATGAGCGCTTGCGACTCAAGTCACCTTCCTTTCAAATCTCAATGTACTGATCTCCGGTCCTTGGATAGGATTCGTGAGAGATCAATGAATTGATTGGAAATTTGCACCCACAAAAATTTGTTCCGCTTTCTGGATCACTTACGAAAAGGATTCACAGAAAGTTTCACGGTCTTATGTGGTTATGTGCTGCACTCACAAAATTTGTTCCACTCTCTGGATCGCTTACGGAAAGGATACACAGAAAGTTTCACGTATTAATGTGATTATGTGCTCCACTTGACTACTCTTTCACTTTCTGGATCACTTACGAAAAGGATGCACAGAAAGTTTCCAAGTTGTCTGTGGTTGTGTGGTAACACTGATTCTTTCCCACTCCCTGGTTCGCTTACGAAAAGGATGCACAGAGAGTTTTCAAGAATAGTTCACACGACCGACTGATTTCTCCTACACCTCTCTGGATCACTTACGAAAAGGATGCACAGAGATTTTCAGATAGTCAGTGGTTTTCCTTCCGATTTCTCTTACACCTCTTTGGATCGCTTACGAAAAGGATACACAAAGATTTTCAGATAGTCGGTTGGTTCTTCTTCCTGCCACGCGGGTCTTCTGGCCTCGATTCCTCCGGTTGCAGATGGAATTTGAGGTGGTTTCACTGGTCGATGCACCAATTTGGTGGGAACCAAGTGTCGTAGGCGATAGTGGTGTCGATAATAGATTTATCCACAGACGAACCCGGTGTTGAACCGGGGGAGCAACCTATAATACAATCGGGGGCTCCTTATATAGGTAGTAAGGCGGAGCTGACCCGTGCGCAATCAGAATGTCCAGGAAATATGTGCAAGAAAGAGGATGCCGCGGCTTGGCGCGGCCCCTGGAAGATAGGTGCCACTCATTGGTGAGTGATTCGGCACTTAAATATAAGCGATGGGGGAATATAGCCTTGGGGAATACCCGTAAGCTATTAGGATTATAGAATTGTGAGGTTGATGATACATAAATCATCAACAGCTTTGAACCATTTTTGATAACTCGTAGGGCACCGGGTAAAGCGTCGATTTATGAATTTCTGCGCAGTAAACTAACCGCGACTTAGCTGCGGCATTTTAAGTCAAACTTTCAGCTCCTCAGAGCAGTTTAGTAGTGCCATCGTTCCCAGTGCGAATCTCTCTGCAGACAATACCACCTGTGCGCTCTTGATATATAACGCATTGTGCAGGTTTGGTCGACTAAATCATGTCTTACAAGGAAGAGGACAGTGACTTAAGGGAGTACTGGTTCGAGACCGAGTTGTGGCCTTCCTTTTGCTACGTCGGTGGCCAATCTCTGATAACGGTCACTATCAAGATATAGATACAATGAGATGAAACGAACTTACTTCATCGCAACACATACAACCGAAAAAATCACAAAGAAGTGAATAGAAGGATAAATATACATTCTTCTCAACTTAAGTGATTTATCGAAAATTTCGAGCAAGTGCAGTTTTGCGCCTTTCCTTGCATCATGTCAGTTTCTATGAATGCATGTTACTCACGAGCAACTCAGGGATTCCTCTGTAATTCTCCACTTCTGCACGCTCTCTTCATTAGTTCAACTTACTACTTAACTTCAACATACGGCCAAGCGGTAAATGGGTCGCGGCACTGGACAGGACACGCTTCTGACTTCCCTTTTGCAAATATGGGAGGGTAGATTCTAATTGGAAGTCAGTAGGTTCTGCGTTATCAATCTAGCTAATTACGAACAATGGTTAGATTGAAATGCGATTAGTTGCGTTCAAACAGTGATGTGCAGCTTCGAGCTAGGACAGTTCATAACAAACGCAGTTCTTTGCAGACTTTTTGCTTGTACAATTCTGGTCAGCGACATAATGGTATAAGAGAATTCTGTGATGACAAAGAATGAAGAAAGACTACAAAGACTTTATCGAATTCGAACTAGACCAATAACTTGCCATTCTGTTTTCCTGAGTGGATTACTATCAAACACCAAATCGCTTGAAATTATGAATTCATCCACACTCAACCTACTACGTTGCTCTCCATAGAATCAAATCTTTACAGGGATATTGTTTTCTCTAATTTATAAATGAAGGAATGTTGACATGTGACTATACAAATTTGCTGAATCTTCACTCTGAATTACAAGACCGCCTGGTGGTCGTGGCTTAAACATTTGTTTATGCTCGTATTCAAAAACCTTTCTTTTTTTCTTTTTCTCTGCTCATTTCGATCTGGATGCGGCTCCACAAAATTGTACCTTACACCTTATTTAGAGAATCTCACTCTCTTTATTTTGTGTTTCCAGTGCAGCATGTCCGCAACTTGTGCATGTTTGATCTTTTTCCTATAGAAAATAAAGTTGAACAAATCCATTTTTTCCAGTTGTCCAAATAAAAACAAAAAGGAATGCAGTTGTTGCACCTTTACACAATCATTCACTTCATGTCTTCTCTTTGGATAGTATTCTCCGCTGGTTGGTTTTGTTTGACTTAAACAGTTGTTGTCCGCACTTATAACTTTTTATTAGACTGCTGGAACTATCCTACTATCAGATCTAAAAAGCAGCATGAGAAGTTTGTTTCCGATTGCGCTGGGCAAAAGAAGCTTGGTTTCAAAGACGATGGTCCAAGTGTATTCAAAGCTTCATTCGTGTCAGAAAGCGAATTTAATAAGCTGTTTGGCAGAGCAGAGGAAATTCGATTAAGCATCTATATGCAAAACACAAATTTTGTGAAGCCAAGTTTAGAGCAACTGCAAAAGGTTCACGTGCGCGGTGAGGGAAAAGATTAGTCATTTGTACCAGTCCCTTTGTAAACTTTTTTTTAGAAGGAGTACCATCCTTCCGCATTGAAAACAACGCCAACTTGGTCGACCTGAAAACACCAAAACAACCGATAAAAGCTATGCCAAATGGCAGTGTTGTCAGTGTATACTATTTCGCAAACGGACGAGGGAAGGACAGGCATGCTAACGGCAAGGAACCATTTGCTGAGATCCGCAAGCTATGCCCCGTAAAAAGCGGGTGCCACATTTACAAAGATACAGGTACTTTTTAAGTTTTTCAAACCGTTAAACCCCTATAACTGCTTTATTCACAAGGGGTCGCAAACATTTTGCATTCGGTCTGCCCTTTTTTGTAAACGAAGCCGCGAGCATATTCAACGTCGTGGGGAAGGACTTCTTCCATCTTGTTGTTTTGTTGTTTCCTTTCTAGAAGCTTGTGATACCGATTCCGGATACTACTCGATTGATTCGGTCAGCAGCGTGCGCGCCGAAACTTTCAAGCAATATACCTGAAGTAGAAACAAATAGATACTTTTGAGATATTGCGTGCTGTATTGTATTGCACTTGTATTTCCTCTAACCTACGAGTTGAAATTATGTGGTTTGCAGTTTTTTGTATATCTATAACCTACCTACTTGTAATTGCATTGATTTATTCCAACTCTCCTCAAACCAGGTTGAAGAAAAATACTGGAAATTCTTAGTGATTGCTATCGGGATGGTAATTCAGTTTTGCAAATTTTTGATTTTTTCCCATCTTTCGATATGTCGTATACCAATTTTGCGATATTGTGTAGGGTCATGTAAGCTACAAGCTCAACTACTGTTGTGTTCTGAAAATCAAACCTCGGGGTTACGGTAGTTACATGTAAGAGGAAGAACTGTAAATTAGTATTGATTTGGAGACTGAAACTTGGCGTAGGGAATTATCTGACGTGCTGATCACGAAAACTATACTGAAATTACTTGACAGAAGTTTTTTGTAAGATTACTGTAGATACGGTATGGGGTTTCACCTTTATCAAACAAAATGAGTTAAAACAAAAGAATATGATATTTGTGTTTGGCAGGTCAAATAGCCCCGCTGTGCAAAGTCTCGGCAAATTCCAATACTGCAACTCTTCAGTCATTTACTGTGTCCTCACCAGCCTTGCATACAGTGATTCATTCAACCTTGATTTGTGATTATCTATTTCTTTTTCAATGAGTCAAGTGATTCAACCTCTCTCAACACTTCATACAAAGTTTTGTATACAGGGTGTCCTAAAAAATGTATCGAACGTTTGATCGTTAGTATCTCTTCCCAAGAAGTCTTTTGCCTTGCTTCAGGTACCGTTTTGTAGAGCTGGCTTCAACTTAGATTTCCATTATAGAACGAATCACCCATCTCTCTTCATTACTGTAGGGTTACGGTAGAAACTTCAAAGAGGGTTTTGAACCATAAAAGGCCATATTTTGCCTCAGAAAGGAAACAAAACAGCCTGAAAACTTTTACACCATGCTAATTAGAATTGCTGATTATAACTGTGAAGTTCCCAACTTATTATGATGTCTTATTGAAGAGTTATGCCAGGTAAGAGGTAACGGCCATTTTTTCAATGTTCCTGAAAAGTGCGGTTATACCCTTTAGAAAGCTTCGTAATCTTGTGAATAGTTGAGTATTGAACTCAGCGTCTATGAAAACCCTATTACACAAGTTTTCACAATTTTTTGAAAAATTTTGCAACGGCAGCTTTTTCCACATTGACACCATATGTTTCAAGTTTCTATCGTAATCCTACAGTAATGAAGAAAGATGGGTGATTCGTTCTACAATGGAAATCTAAGTTGAAGCCAGCTCTACAAAACGGTGCCTGAAGCAAGGCAAAAGACTTCTTGGGAAGAGAGATATTAACGATCAAACGTTCGAAACCTTTTTTTGGGACACCCTGTATATCACTGCGCATGGTCTAAATCGCAGATAGCTTCATTTTTGCTTATAACTCCACTTCTCGAGCAATGATTTCGAGAAATGCCTGAAATTTTCCCATCTCGGGTCCAGAAATCAAATACTTTGGCACACATTACAGTATGCTTGACTGTCAAAGTTTGAATGCACCAAATTCAGAGACAATAAAATTATGAAAGAAGTTGCGAAACTTAGTTTCCAACCTGAATTAAAAATTGACGTTTCAGAATGCAGTCGGATTGATAAAGAAATAACAGATTTCAACAAATTTGCTGACAAATGCGCCAATCAATCGGTGATTAAAGGAGCTCCAGGATTCAAACTTAAAATTGATTTGGCATCATTTACCTCGCAGCAAGTTTTGGCTTTGTTCTCAAAGGCTGAGCAGCTATTTGGCTGTTTCCGATCTGTAGGGACATATCACAGAAAGATAAAGTTTCCTCGTCTTAGACATATAGAAGCATGTGACGAAGGTTAGACATTTCACGTTGATTTGAATTCTCTAGTCACTTCTTGCATTCAGGTGAAACCGCCCTTCTCCTGGAGAACAATCCATTTCTAGAGGAAGTAATATTTCCTTGCCATTTTACATCTGACAAGAGCTTGAGGATACGAGGAAACCACATTTTGAATGCAAGAAATATCATGGCTATGTGGACAGCCTGTCTTCAGTGTGATCTGCAAGATCCAGGAGGCAAGTGTCCAACTTGTTCTTAGGAAAGTAATGTTTGAAAAATGCGATTGATTTTTACAGAAGATCGCATCAAGATTGACAATGACATCAAAGAAGGTGGAACCTACTTCTCATCGTTGAATAAAGCGAATGAAAAATTTCAGTTTGCGAGAGCTTTCCAACTCCTAAAAATAAAAAAGATTATGTGCGAATCGTCAATACCTGCAGTGGTGCAAAGAAACTGCTATTTAACACCAAAGCTTTGGAGTGCTTCGATGCTTCGTATCTACCCCAGTTCATGTTTGAAGAGCTGTTTAGGAAGGTTGAAGAGATTAATTTTGCTATTAATATCAAAAGGACAAAGTACACCCGCATATATCTTCCAAATCTAAAAATGTTCAACATTTCCGGTGAGCTTTGCTACTGATCTTAAAGTAAGATTCACCAATTCCTAAACTCTTCGCTATGCTTGAGCTGTTATCATTCATACACTTACTAAGGGCCGCATGCATCAATATCCTCGCCAGGGAGGGGGTCGCAGCTTTAAAAAAGTTTCATATCTTGAAGCTCCAGAAATCTGGATTTCACGCTATCTAACTTTCCCACTATCCTTCACTATCAACTTACTGAACAGGAGTGAGAAGCTGTCCAAGCCACATATTCCAGCTTCTTACATGATACCCTGATGAAGGGTATCATGCAAGAAGCTGGAAGCTGATGATCTTTTTCTTTCTTCGAATTTGACGAAAACATTCCAAAATTGCACCGATTATCTATCCCACCAGTGCTAAGCATAAGCATGTTGCTGATAAGAACAAATGATATTTTGAAATCATGAGATTTGCGATGAACCACGAGTCAAAAATTGGTGTCTATCGAAAAATTCCAAAAGCTCATTTGTCTTATCAGCAACATGCTTAGCACTGTTGGTTTAGATATCAGTACAACTTTGGAAGGTTTTCGCTAACTTTGAAGAAAGAAAAATGACTTTGAAGAAAAGACGGTTGGCCACCGGGGATTATCGGGGGATTATAAAAGGAAAAAGCGGCTTGTACAGCTTCTTGTCCCTGTTCAATATGTTCATAGTGAAGGATGATAAGGATACTTACGGATACGTTTTACGTGGTGAAATCCAGATGTTTGGAGCTACAGGAAACGAAGCTTTCTTTCAAAGGCAGTGGCTCGGCAAATTCTCGACATATAGTTCTTCTTTGCTTACCTGGGGTGACTCGACGCGCTGATTCCGAAAAATACACCCTGAAGAGGGCGAAAATGGCAAAAACCAGCATTTCCCAAGGCCCTTCATTTTGAATTGGATCAGTCGAACGCTTCTCGCCATGGTTAGAGACGTAGAGTCGTTGTGGGACCCTCATGTTTATAGCATTGCGGCATGCCTCCTCTGACGGTGTGAGGGATATCGTGGGCTTGTCGAGCGCATGTAAGAATGGCTTGCGCGCACGGGTTTAGGGGCAATTTTCTAGGCAGGGCTAGCATGCTGTGCGCTGGAACTTGCTCTGTTCTCATTTTTAGAGTGCAAGCAACCTTCCACATGAAAATTTCGAGATGTTCGATTTTTCGAGCCATTGCCCAGGCGGAGATGTTAGTGCATGCGGCCCTAAGAGACGAGCACGCTTTTAACTAGTTCATCAGTGTGTTCTAACGTGTTTTGGTAGATTATTATCAGGAACTAGCTGGCTTACCCGGCTCCGCCGTATGTTCTGAATAGATTCCATTTCTGAACCGATCGGGACCAAACTTGGCACACATACACTTCGGGCCCCGGTGGGTGCCACAGTCGACTTTTCGTTATCGATCGATGTCGATTTTATCGATGTTTTGCAAAATTCAAGCTAGGGGGCTGGAATTTGGCAGGGGGGTGTAATCGAGCCGATTTAACCGAGCATGCTGATCACCCCCACGGGGGTGATCAGCATGCTCGGTTACCCCCCTGTGCCAACTCCCAGCCCTGTAGCTCAAATTTTGCAAAAAATTGATAAAATCAATATCGATCGATGACAAAAAGTAGCCTATGACACCCGCCGGGGCCCGAAGTGTATGTGTGCCAAGTTTGGTCCCGATCGGTTCAGAAATGGAATTTTCTATTCGGAACATACGTACAGACAGACATACAGACAGACAGACAGACAGACATACAGACAGACAGACAAACAGACATTCAGCTTTATATATAAGATTCGTGAAAGAACATGTTCGAATTTGTTAAACAACGCAAGTCTGAACATGTTCTTTCTTGAATCCATTATGGCAATTCACCAATACGCGTTGAATCACGTGTTCAGCTTTTTAATTGGACGTACGCAAAGGTGCTCGTGTCTCTTAATCAAAGATTGAATGATATAAATATGTTGATTGCTGCATGAATATAAATTTTAAGAGGCCGGCTATCTATGCTTCTTAAGAAGGAAGTTTCAGAAAATGGAATGGTGCTAGAAGTCGAAGGAAACGCGGCGATGGAGCACCTCATTGCTCATTATGACATGCAAGTGCCACCTGATGTGCAGGGGACGGCTAAACTGGCGAAAAATCCTGTTCTATCGAAGAGTTTTTGGCAGAGGTGGAATCGCACAGTTTGCAAATATTTTGATTGTCAATACGAATGAGGTCAAAGATGTGCTTCTATCTGAGAGATCTTTTCTTGTGCATAGTTTCAGGTCATTAAATCTTCTCAAATAGAAACGCTTGTGCATAGGCAAGTTGATAAACCGTTTTTTCACGTTGACGGAAACAGTCATTTTGAATGTCTGATTGGTCACAAAAAGATATTTAACTGTGTAGTTCCGTAAACGATCGTATGACTATTAGGGTGAACGGTAAAAAATGGGACACCTAGAGAATAAATGTAGACTTCTAAAGAAAGAGGAGTGATTGAGCTCTCCAAGTTTGACGGATATTATAATATTGTTCTCTTTCAGACAACAACCCTATAAGATCATAAACTTACTTAATAGTTTTTATTCTTGCTGAAATGCAAAGTCAGTTCTTCGACAAACTATAAATTTCGAGCAGCATTTGCGCAGTGAATCCTATATGTTATGAAGGGAATCCTATATGTTCAATATATTATTCGAAAGAGCATGAAGAGCTCTTTTGAATGATGTGTCAATTGTTCTATGACACAAGTAAAAGAGATGTTCAAAAAACATTGGAGTTCTTCACGGCGCCACGCGCAGGGTTGTGGGAGAGGAGCGCTAACGCGTACCAAAATAATAGGCGAAGGCCGGTTATGTAATATACTTGGATCCGAATCGAATAGAAATTCCATCATTCGAATAAAACATTCGAATATATTCGTATTCGAAATTCGATATTCGGAGTTCTTCCATTTTCGAATAATATTCGAAACTCGAGTAATTGAGTAGACGGGGTTTCGAATAAAATTCGAAAATCGAATAATCAAAAAACAGGGTTTCGAATAAAATTCGAAAACTCGATTTATCAAAAAACGGGGTTTCGAGTAGATTTTATTCGAATGTTTTATTCGAATGTTCATTCGAATTCGTATTAGAAATGAACTCCATATTCAAATTATTCGACTTTGCTGCAGAGCCAACTGCTGAGTATCAAGCTCACTTCGTTTTCCGCGTTTTTTTCCGCAAAACTCGGTAATGCAGCTTTTGCAACCGTTACGACCTTTGAACTGTATGGAGGGTCGCATTCTTGCGAGTGCTTGACAGTAAAAAATCATATCTGGATTTTAATTGATGCTTTTTCGAGCAATGAGATTGTTCGCACTGCTATTGGCACCAAATCAGCAAAGAAGCTACTAAATTCAAGCTCATGTTCCGAGTTCATATATTGAAAGTGCATAAGTTATACAAAACAACTGCCTCTATTCGCTACCTTAAAGTTTTATTGCGAATTGGTGTATTCTTGGTAAAGGACATCGCAGTTGTAGTGGAAAATTAGACGGTTTAGATCGCCGTACGCGATTTGCCAGTTACGAGATGTCTTCAAATGTAACGCCAGCTTACCACAAATGTTTAGCGACAACTTAATAAAAAGATAAATGCCGTGCATTCTGTACTTTTAGAATAAGTTTTGGACATGACTATTGCCAAACCACGTTGCCACTTAAATGCCTGCAGTATGCCCAGGGCTAGCGGCAATCGTGCTCGCTTCGCGGGATAAACCACATGCCTTCGTCCACGATTAGCAATGTATCGTAGCATTTGTGGCATTTAAGTACATATGTGGCCACCGTTGTTGCGGGGCTGGGAGTTGGTACAAGGGGGTTAGTGAGGGTGCTGATTATGGATAAAAATTTACTTTATCGATTTTATCGGTTTTTGGAGAAGTCTTAGCTGCGGGGCTGGGAGTTGGTGCAAAGGGGTAAGTGAGGGCGCTGATTATGGATAAATATTTACTTTATCGATTTTGTCGATTTCTTGAAGATTTTGAGCTGAGAGGTTGGGAGTTGTTACAGGTGGGGGGGGGGGGTAAATGAGGATGCTGATTGACACCGGAATCTATTAGGCTGATGCAAAAATAATGAGCGTTTTCCTAGAACTTTTTTCAGAGCAACTTTTCTCCATCAAACTTCTTTTTTCGAAACGGTTTCAGCAAAATATTAGAAAGCTTTTCCTATGCACTATCTAATGCTTTTCAAAAGGGACTTCTAGCCCACTCTGTTAAGAATTTATAGAGCTTCAAAAAATCGCACTCAACACCAGATTTTCGTTGCATTCACTTTTCTGGCCAAAATTTAAGCGCAAATTAAGGTGCTTTTTCGAAAATTTAGCCGCTATATGTAGTGGAAATTGTCTACATATGCATACTTAACCATATTTTTTGAAGTTATTTAAAGTGAGATACCGGCGGCTTAACATGGGTAATGGTTGTGGTCATTTTAGAGCTTATAACTTTCTTTGGTTGAATGCGTCGCTCAAACTTTGCTCATCTCCATAAGCGCGAGGATAGGGCATCCTGTTGACAGTTTCAGCAAAGACATTTAGCTGTTCAGTACGCAGAAAATTAGAAAATTTTATACCCCGGGATTTTGAGGCTTACTGAAAAAATGCTGAAAAAGTTGATATTTTGAAATTTCGATTTTTCCCTCTTCGCTAATCCTTTTCTCCAAACCCTTTTCATGTATATTT